CGTCGTGGAGCATGATATTGATGTTGGTACAGCTCAACCAGTAAAACAACATGCCTATCGTGTTAGCCCGAATAAAAGGAAGTTACTTCAGAAAGAAGTAGATTATTTACTCGATCATGACTTGCCTAGTTTTAGTTCTTGGAGTTCCCCATGTATCTTAGTGAATAAACCTGATAATTCGTATCGTTTCTGTACTGATTACAGAAAGCTCAATTCTCTGACAAAACCTGATTGTTATCCTCTACCAAGAATTGATGACTGTGTTGACGTGTCGGCTCAGCGCAATTTGTTAGCAAATTTGACCTCCTGAAGGGTTATTGGCAAGTGCCATTGACATCCCGTGCTAAAGAACTATCTGCTTTTGTTACACCTGATAGCTTCCTGCAGTACACAGTTATGCCTTTTGGGGTCCGAAATGCTACCGCTACATTTCAGCGACTAATAAATCACGTTTTGTCTGGGATGACTGGTTGTGAAGCTTATCTGGACGATGTTGTTCTGTATAGTTCCTCTTGGTCTGAACACCTTGATCAAATTAGAGAGCTCTTTGTGCGTCGATTTCTTGGGATGGTGGGTTACTACAGGGGTTTCTGTCATAATTTTGCAAGTGTAGTTGCCCCTCTGACTGATTTGCTAAGCCCTAAGAGACCTTTCCAATGGTCAGACCAATGTCAGTGTTCCTTTGAGAATGCCAAATCTTTATTAGCAAATGCTCCAGTGTTGTCTGCTCCTAATTTTGACAAGCATTTTCTACTTGCAGTTGATGCAAGCGCTTATGGTGCTGTTCTTTTGCAAGCGGATTTTAACGGAATCGAGCATCCAGTCAGTTATTTTTCCAAGAAATTCAATCGTCATCAGCAAGTGTATTCTACCGTGGAAAAAGAAGCATTAGCTCTTATTTTAGCCGTTCAACATTTCGAGGTCTATTTGAGCTCGGTATGTGGTCCTATTACGGTATACACTGATCATAATCCGTTGACTTTCTTAGATCGAATGCGCGGTAAGAATCAGAGAATAATGAGATGGAGCCTTATTCTTCAACCTTTCCACTTGCAGATTAAACACATACGTGGCAAGGATAACATAATTGCTGAAGCTCTCTCACGTATGTAAGCTGTCCCAGTAGTTTCTGGTATCTTTTCTTCTCTCTCTTTCTTTCTCCTTTATCTCTCTCTGATGTCCTAGGGCCCAGGATTCCGGGATCGAAATGGATTGAGATTTATGGAGATGAGTATTAAAGTTATTGTATATTCACATTTACATGATTGTTTTGCATTTGTACTTTTTTTTTTTTTTTTTTTTTTGTCGGTTCTTTAGAGAACCTCCTTTTGGATTGGGAGGTGTGACGTCCCTGAGTCCTCTGATCCTATTGGTCCAGCCGTGGGAGTTCCTGATTGGTTTTTCCTCATGCTAATTGCTAATTAGTTAGAGCATATAAAGAGTGCTGTGCCTTCTTAGAGGAGGGCACTCTTTGGAGAAACTCTCCTTAGGAGTGGCTCCTCCGGGTATTTGTCTTACACATGTAGCGTCAAGATATTATTGTTTGTTAACCTGTTGTTTTTCCTTATCCCTAGACTTTTGTTTATTTTTGTTTCTGGTTGTATGTTTAATCTAATAAAACTCTTTTTGATTGCAACGTGCTGTTTGAATCCTCTTTTGTGTTGCGGCCTGATACTAGCGGGTCGTAACAGGATGTAGGGCCATGATCTGGGAGACAGTTTTGAAAATTAGACCTTTGGTCAGTTTTGAATGGACTTTTTTGTGATCTTCCATTGAGAATGTGTCTGAACCAAACAGTAAAAGCAGTTTAAAGATGCTTTTTTAAATAAAAAAAATTTAAATAAAAAAAACTCCAGGCCTTATGCCTCCATCTCCATGATGCCATTTCTAAATTTGTTTCACAAATTAGTATAGTTATTTCTGATCAAAAGCAACTTAATAGGCTTAAATTTCACCTGTTAGGTCCAGAACAGCCCAAAGACGTGAAATTTTCCTTTTAATTATCATTTTTAAGTCAAATTCTCAAAATGTGTTTCGGCCAACTTCTATATTGTCTAAAAAAAAGTTTAACTCCGCTCCACACTAAACATGGTGTATCCTACTCTCATTAAAGCTGGTGACGCCATGATGGTTGCGTGTGAAAATGTAAGCATTTATTGAGTTTGACCAATAAATAATAATTTGGGGTTCAATACTCCAAAAGCATTCTTTTCCTTTTCTTACTATCCCACTCCCCTCCCAACCCTCCCCCCATGCCCAGGGCACGACCGCGTCATAATCCGTCCCTGCTGACTGATTGTAGTCTAAGAGCAGTTTTTATTTTTGCGTACCTGAGCGAACTTACCATTTAAATGACAAAATCATCTGGGAAAATGTCATGGACTTTGCTGGACCTGTGTGTCCCTTGTCACGGCTCCCCTGCATTAAAGTGTAAAAAGTAATGTCACAACGGAAATTCTTAATGGCTTGTATAAAATGCTGAGGATCACAGAGCATTAAAATGCTCTTTAGCTGCTGACCCATTTGAAATGAACAGAGTACATAATGGGCCACAGTTCTTTCAAGCAACTGTCAAGACAAATTCAACATAAAAGGCATATAAATATTAGAACTAAAAAACTTCAAGTAATTTAGACTAGAAGTGAATCAAAATAAAAACACGTCAGCAAAAGTAAATTTTGAAAGCAGGTTTTCGATACATGTCTGTCCAAGTAAAAAAAACAGAGATTCTATTAAAACAACAACTTTCACATTCATATAGAAAATCTGAGTTAAATGCTTATCACCTGTAGAGTGAATGTCCAGTCTCTCTGGATGCGTATACATCTCTGTGCTGTGTTTTAGACTTCAGCTGTCACAGAATATATGACTTTATATATGCAAATATATAAAGTAAACAAATATAAGGTTCAAAAAGACACCATTTGACTAAACTGAAGAGATCTGAACTCGAATTATTCAACATTTAACTAACTGACACTTATCTTCAGTACTAAGGAAGACAACAACAATCTCATTTCTAATAGGGTAGAAACATTTGGGGGTGCTTCCCCCAATATGATCACATGACAAACAGGGAATCACATGACAAGACACAGAAACATGACGTGACCAAGACAAGACCAAATCGTGACACATCTTTAACCTGCAGGTAAAGTTAATCTATGATTGTAATAGGTTATGGGAATGTTGTAGAATGATTTAATGGTTACAGCGGTATAAAAACACAACATAATTCAAGCTTGTCCTGAAAAGCACACACAAACAAATATCATTGCAGTGGACGGTAGAGATCCAAAAATGCCAGTGCACGCCTCTCTATAGGGACTGGTTCCCCTGCATGAGGAGGAGGATACTATTTGCTGCTAGATCCATATTTGGCCAGTTAAAAAAGAGATTTGTATACAGTTATGGTCCTGATATTTAATATATGATAAGAAGATCATCCAGGGTTGGTTCAATAGTTTCAGAGACTGAAACAGGTTAATACAATGGAAAGAATGGAAAGAAAAAATGCATTTATACCTATAAAGATGTATATTTTTCTGCAAAGATGGAAAAATATTATACTGACTAAGATAGGTAGTTAGACTATATGACAAATGTATAAGCGATGTACAAATGTTTGTTCCACAAAGAATTTTTTTCTTCCCTTTAAACAGAGGCGTACAGAGTACACAGCTTCGTTACTTAAGTAAAAGTACAGATACCCCTTGCTAAATTTTACTCAAGTACAAGTAAAAGTACTACAGTCAGATGTCTACTTAAGTAAAAGTACTGAAGTACTTGCTTTTAAAAGTACTTGAGTATCAAGAGTACAAGAGTAAATTTTCTAAATATTGCATTACTACTGCCAGAGTGTCAAGTCAAGTCATCTTCATTTATATAGCGCTTTTAACAATGTAGATCGCCTCAAAGCAGCTTTACAGAGATAAACATAATTTAAGGTAACAGAGATTGTTTTGGCTTTATAGCGATTCTTGAATAATGTTATTTCCAGCTAAAGTTAGTTTTGATTGATTCACTTCCAGCGAAATGATCATTTGTTATTAAATTAGGGCTGCCAAGACGACGCCGTTCTCTCTAAACAGACTTTAAACTGAACCTGTGATTAACGCTGATGGCGTTCACATGCGCGTTAAGAATTGATTCTATAGTTATGTGTGTTTGAATATATGTGTGCAGGTTTGTAATTCCCTACAAACCATGCCTAAACAAACTACTTGTCTTTGCCTATAAATTTTATACAGAATTTTATTTTATCACTTCGGGGTAGGTACGCGAACCACATTTATGTACAGAAACGCCCTACATGGAGTTATGAAAAATGTTAATGTTAATACCTTTGATATTCTAAAAGGAATTGAAAGTTAATTCAAGTAATTTTCATCTTTTTACCATGTTGCTTTATTTAACATTTCTCACTTGCCCACAAGGCAATGCACAATGGGAACGCTCTGACAAACCTCTTCTAGAGTTTTAATGGATTTTTTGCACCCACATTTGAACCTGTTTCGTCTCTTATCTAAATCTGACCATGAGTTTACTTTGGCGTCAGTTCAGAGCTGAAGGTGAAGGTGATTTGCTGATAGGCTGTCCCAATCAGTGGCGCCTGCACAATCCAATCACGTTTGAGAGGGAAACAACAAATTGAGGGTTTCCGAGATTTTTCTTTTTTCCTTTTTTTTTTTTTTTTTTTAGAAGTAACGGGTACTCACGGTTATGGATAGAAATGTAGTGGAGTAAAGAGTACAATATTTGCCTCTCAAATGTACTTGAGTAAAGTCATGAGTAATCCCCAAAAATTATACTCGAGTACAGTACAGATCCCTCAAAATTGTACTCAAGTACTGTACTCAAGTAAATGTACTCCGTTACTGTCCGGCTCTGCCTTTAAATAAAAATTAAATTAAATTTAGTATTAAATTAAATGAATCATCATGATTTAAGTATTAAATTAAAGTTATCTAATACAACGTTTAGAAAGTAAGCACCTGTATTCAGTGAAATATCACAATTGCAGGTCTAATGAGGAACAGAGGCAGTTTTCCAGTCCGGTGAAGATAAAGAACAGGCTGAACGAAACCAGCCAGCCCATAACATACCAAACCAGGGAGCCAATATGCAGGATTATTCTGTTGTGTATGAATAATATAGAATCCTGTAATAGGATATGGGACATATATAAAAGCCATGCTCACAGTAGTTATTAGAATGAGATAAAATGCTCTTCTCTTCATGTGGTTTTCCTCCTCTCTCTCTCTCGCTCTCTCTCCTGGTCCTGACTGCTTCAGAGCTCTGAGAACAGCCACAAGACAAAACAACTGGATGGAGAAGAAGAGGAGGAACTGTGTTGAGAAGAACCATAAGTGTATATGAAAGTTTTGTGAGATTACAATAAATAAATTATAGAAACAGGAGCCAAGAATAATGATCCAGACAACAGTGCAGCAGATCACTCTATATCTGAGAGGTTTGTACTTCAGAAAGGTTACAGGATGAACCACTGCCAGGTAACGCTCAACACACATCAGACACTGAAACACAGGACGACCAGTGAGAATAAGTCCTTGTAGAAACACCGGTAACAATGAGAGACTTGAAAAGTACATTGGCAGTATAGAGAGCAAACCATTTAGACAGGTACCAATCTCACAAGTGGAGAGATTGAGGTTGAAGAACGCTGATGCAACTCCACTTCCTGTTCCTGTGATGATGAGCAATATAACGTAGATGTTTGTAGGAAGACCAAACAGGAAATTCATGCTGAGTATGCAGATTTCCACAAAGTCCATTGGCCCAATAGACTGAGTTGTGGAGTTTGTTGATGTTTCAGGTGTGGTGAAGTTCACTGTAGGGTTATTCATCTCCTCTGTATTTGTCTTCTCAGTTCAGCAGCTCACAAACCAAACTGTATATAATATTACAACTGTTATCTTTTTTTAGGAGAAATACAATGAACCAGTTAAGTCAATAAGGTAAAAAAAAAAAACATTTAAATACATTCATGCAGTTTACAACATATTACGATTTTGTAATACAAAGTTCATAATTTAAATTCAAATAACAAGCACATCATTATTATATGACTTCGAAATATGGTTGTATATATTCAGTAGTATTTATGCTTAGCCTAAATTATTAAACATGTCATTTTCTTTAATATGTACATTTAAAATGATTTACTTCTGTTCAGAAAATAGCTCAGTCCAATTTTACCAATTCTAGCTAAAACATTAAACGCATCACAATACATTATTTGATAAACAGCACTGAGGTTAAAACAAGAAATCACAAGTTTTGAATCACCTGAAGAGTGAATGTCCAGTCTCTCTGGATGTTTATAGACTTCTGTGCTGTGTTTTGGAGACACGAAGGATTTCATCTGCTTCACGTCACATTAAACACAAGATATGCAAATTTTTAGACTGAACATTTCAGGAATGAAAAATAAAAATAAAAGTGTGTTGTCAAGTATACAGCAATTTTTGGTTTGGACAACTGATTTATTTTTAAGACAAAGCTGAACATTCATGGGTCAAATATAAAAATGTTCAAAGTTCATAGATTTATATGAAGGCATTTGAAAAAGTGTAACATCTCAGATAATAATGCCTTTCTAGCATGTCAACATCATAGGTGACCATGAGATTTATCATCTGACTCTCAACTTTAATTTTGAGGCTGAAAAAAAGTGTTGTTATAATATTTTATTTTGACAGCCTAAAACATAATCAATCTGCCAAAACTATCTTTATAAATCCAAAGACTTAGGTGGAACATTTTGCTGTATACATGTGACGATCTGCGGCTGGAGTGCCCGCTTGAGCCTCTGGAGGGCACTCCTTCCTAGTTTATTGTTTCCATTATGTTTCACCCTGGACTGATTATGGTTTATTTGTTGCACCTGTTTTAGATTGAGCGTCCCTGATTTAAGCCTGAGTTTTCCCTTTGTTCAGGGCTCAGTATTGTAAGTGTTTGTATGTGTCTCACTGCATCCTAGCGTTTTCCTAGTTTCCTAGCGTTTCCTTGTATTCTAGTGTTTCGGTTCCCTGATTATCTGCCTGTTCCCGGTTTCCCGTTTGCCTTATCCCTGCACGGATTTGATGTTTGTTTGGACTGCTTACCTGGTTTTGACCCCTGCCTGTTTCCTTGTACCTGTCTCTGGATTCTCCTCTTAATAAAGCCTGCGTTTGGATCACCTCTGTCCTTGTTCCACGTGCAGTTCGTGACAGAATACTGACCCACAACTGATCCAGCGGCTGAGAGGAATACGGACCTCGATATGGATCCCACAGCGCAGATCGTAAGCCTCCGTCAAGGAGAACGTCCTCTCAAGGTTTTTGTGACAGATTTTTTGAAGCTCGCTCGTCAGTCCTACTTGAATGATTTCTGTTTGATGATGTTCTTTCGGGTAGGACTGTCTGAACCGCTCGGCTCTGCTATACCATTTCCGTGTTCAAGCTGGACTCTAACCCAATATATTGACCTGGCCCTTTCCATGAGCGGTTCGGCTTTTACTGTGGATTTTTTGAAACTTTTGCTTCACAAAGGACCCGACGATTCGCCACTTTACAAGGTACCCACTGAATCCACGCATCAATTGTCTCCCGGTGAACCAGCGCATCACACGTGCTCCGCCGAGTTTGCGCTACATGAAAGCCCAGTTGAACCAGCGCTTCGTAAAGGGTTCGCCGTATCCACGCAACATGTGAATCCCGACGTTCTAACACTTCACGTAAGCTCCGTTATATTCCTGCCTCAAGAGTTTTCTACTGAGTCTGAGCGCGTGCCAGCTGAATCAAGTGAGTCAAGTGCCGAGTCAAGTGAGTCAAGTGCCGAGTCAAGTGAGTCAAGTGCCGAGTCAAGTGAGTCAACTGCCGAGTCAAGTGCCGCCGATTCAAGTGAGTCAAGTGCCGCCGATTCAAGTGAGTCAAGTGCCGCCGATTCAAGTGAGTCAAGTGCCGCCGAGTCAAGTGCCGCCGAGTCAAGTGCCGCCGAGTCAAGTGCCGCCGAGTCAAGTGCCGCCGAGTCAAGTGCCGCCGAGTCAAGTGCCGCCGAGTCAAGTGCCGCCGAGTCAAGTGCCGCCGAGTCAAGTGCCGCCGAGTCAAGTGCCGCCGAGGCAAGTGCCGCCGAGGCAAGTGCCGCCGAGGCAAGTGCCGCCGAGTCCCGAGTCAAGTGAGTCAAGTGAGGCAAGTGCCGTCAAGTCCCGAGTCAAGTGAGTCAAGTGAGGCAAGTGCCGTGTCAAGTGAATCAAGTGCCGTGTCAAGTGAATCAAGTGCCTTGTCAAGTGAATCAAGTGCCTTGTCAAGTGAATCTAGTGCCGTGTCAAGTGAATCTAGTACCAAGTCGAGTGAATCAAATGAGTCGAGCCAAATGAGTGAATCCAGTCAAGTCAGTGTATCAAGCCCAGTGACTCGCCGTCGCAGGAGGAGAAGGAGGACTCGTTTGGTTCGCCAGGCTCCGGTGGGTGTTCCCAGACTCCTCGCCCTGCCGGCCCCGCCTCTGCGCCTCGCCCTGCCGGCCCCGCCTCTGCGCCTCGCCCTGCCGGCCCCGCCTCTGCGCCTCGCCCTGCCGGCCCCGCCTCCGCGCCTCGCCCTGCCGGCCCCGCCTCCGCGCCTCGCCCTGCCGGCCCCGCCTCCGCGCCTCGCCCTGCCGGCCCCGCCTCTGCGCCTCGCCTTTCCGGTCCCGCCTCTGCGCCTCGCCTTACCTGCGCCTCTCAAGCTTCGGGAGCCTTTTCCAGTAGCGGTTTCCAGCCCGGAGGCTTTAGCTTTAAATTTCCCCAAGAACTTTTTTGGGGGGGGCAATAGGTACCCTAAGAGGGCCATGGAGGTGGCATCTACGTGGACCCTTGCACTACCACCTACACCTGAGAGGGTCATGGAGGTGGTGCCTACATGGACCTTTGCACAACCACCTTCGCCTGAGCTTACCATGTCACTGGTCCTGTCCAGCCCTGTGCTCCCCACGTCTTGGTCCCCTGTTAAGTCTACTCTGCCCTGGTCCTGTGTTATGTGTACTCTGTCCTGTTCTCCTGTCACTTATGCTCCAGCCTGTCTTCCTGCCAAGCATGCTCCGCCCTGGCTACTTGCGGAGCGTGCCTCCCCGTGGTCTCTTGCCCTGCTCTGGTCTCCAGGCCCCAGGTCTCTCCATGGGCCTGGCCCCCTGCCTCTCCACGGGCCTGGCCCTCCATCCCATCCCCCGTCGACCTCCCTCCGGAGCTCTTAGGAGCGTCTGGAAGCCGCTCCTTAGAGGGGGGGTTATGTGACGATCTGTGGCTGGAGTGCCCGCTTGAGCCTCTGGAGGGCACTCCTTCCTAGTTTATTGTTTCCATTATGTTTCACCCTGGACTGATTATGGTTTATTTGTTGCACCTGTTTTAGATTGAGCGTCCCTGATTTAAGCCTGAGTTTTCTCTTTGTTCAGGGCTCAGTATTGTAAGTGTTTGTATGTGTCTCACTGCATCCTAGCGTTTTCCTAGTTTCCTAGCGTTTCCTTGTATTCTAGTGTTTCGGTTCCCTGATTATCTGCCTGTTCCCGGTTTGCCTTATCCCTGCACGGATTTGATGTTTGTTTGGACTGCTTACCTGGTTTTGACCCCTGCCTGTTTCCTTGTACCTGTCTCTGGATTCTCCTCTTAATAAAGCCTGCGTTTGGATCACCTCTGTCCTTGTTCCACGTGCAGTTCGTGACAATATACATGTTTGCTATATAAATGTTTAGTGTGTCAGTGAATACATTGACAAAAGGTTTTCTTTCTTTTTTTATAAATATTAGCTCTTTCATTGGACCGTTCAGTGGTCATTCCGAAAAATTGCATGTGGATGCAGGGGGTTTAGATAGAGACATTGTTTTTTTTCATATTTTTTTTTATTGAGTGTTCAAAAAAAGGTACTCAAACACTTTAAACCAATCTCTGTGGCAACCCTCAATATGGAAAAAGTAGACACTACATCAATGATAAATGAAGTTTTATAGAAAAAAAAAATAAAACCATTACAAAATTGTTGCAATCAATTATATCCAAAGAATATGCTCTACCACCTAAAAAATACTAAAATCTAAAATGACTAAATTTAGTATATTACTAAATTACTAAATTTAGATAATTAATACAATTTTAAATTAAAGTTATCTAATACAACACTTAGAAAGTAAAGTAACTGGATTTAGTGAAAAATTACAATTGCAGGTCTTATGAGGAACAGAGGCAGTTTTCCAGTCCGGTGAAGATAAAGAACAGGCTGAACGAAACCAGCCAGCACATAACATACCAAACCAGGGAGCCAATACTGCCCTACAAAACAAAAAGGCAGTAACTACGCAGAGTGCAGAACAGAGAAAAATGACTTTAAAGTTATCCTGTCATCCAACCTAAGTAGTTGTAGGTAGATTATTGGACATGTGGCTGTTTTGTTACTTTATATTAGCTTATTCTTTGTACATATCAATCCTCATATTTAATTTGATATTTTACCCCTATTTTGCAGTTACTGTATTCTTGCTTTGTATTACTTACCAAAAACGTGGCACCATACCAAGGGAAAAGGCAGTAACTACAGATTCTCCAAAAACTATTTTGCCACAACTTGGGCTCTGAGTCTGATACACTGTGTTTGAAATAATTGGAACCATTTGGACAACATTTTCAAAATTTTTGTGTTGCGAAACTAGTGTTGCGGAGCGGGCGTGTTACGGATATGTGGTGTAAATTTTTAGTAATCAAAAATCATGTCTAATTAATTGAAATCATGAAAATTTTATTATAAACTATTATTAAACTTATACAATATTTTAAAAACAAACATTTTTGGTCAAACAACATGCTGCACAATGAGCTTTACTGTTAAAATTAAAACATTGAAGA